CCTTTCCGCTGTATAGTAAACTTCAGAAGAGCATGATCACTCGCGCCTAATGATCCTTCCACTTCTACCCCACTAACCAGATCATCAACATTGGTTAGGACCAGATCTAAAATGGCTGTTCCTCTTGTTGCTTCTCCCACTTTCTGGACAATGAAGTTGTCTGCAAGGCCAGTGAGGAATCTGTTTGACCTTATGCTCTTGGCTGAGTTTGACATCCAACAAATATCCGGGTAAGTGAATACCATGGTGCTTTTTCCAGTCTCAGGAAATAATGTTTTGATAGTCCAAAGGATGTGCTGCTAATCGCCTGGAAGCAGTCACTATTGCTCCTGGACATGAAGGAAAATGGCTCGGAACTAAGTCTAAATGTTAGGGAACATTTTTTAAAGGGACAGGTTATTTGTTTATCTTTAAGCAGACCTAATATAAATGAATTAAGGAAAACATGTCTTCTATGTAAAGTAAATGAAACAAAATTTAGCATTATCTTTCTTGCACTAAAACTAAAAAAAAAAAGTTTTTATGTTTCCTACCTACCATACACCAGCTTTCCCATTGTGTCAGCATTACCTCATGCACCTGTACTGCATAAAACTTGCCATTCAATAACAGTTAATGAAATAAGATCAGTTTCGTAGTTACATAGGAAATATTCTAAACACTTCAACCCCAGTCACATAAAAACTTCCAGGAGTTACATACTCAGCTGGTGAAGAAAAACACTAATTGACACAAAAGGGCCTAGTATTGTTTTTCCAGCATGCTGCAAATTCACAGATCACCCAACATTGACAAGAGGTTCTACCAATTGGTGGTTTTGCCTTAGCAGAAAACACTTCAGCTTGGTCAAGTCAGGGCACCTGATCTTCCTAGATCCCCAAATACTCTTAAGCCCACTTCCTCCCCCAAAAGCTGCCTCTAAGGAAGATGATGTTCTGAAAATATTGTTTTATGTATTTTGTAGTTTGTTTGTCACAGCACTGAATGGAAGATGGCAGAACCCCCAAGCTCAGTGGAGAGTTGGCTTCGAGCACTAGGCCTGTAGGCAGACCAACTCTGCATTACAAAAATGTCTGCAAACATGACATGAAGGCTGGCAACATTAACCCCGCTGTGTGGGAATCCCTTGCAGACGACCGCAATGCCTGGAGACAGGTCGTATATCCACAGCAGTGATCAGAGGAGGAATGACTACTGGAAGAAGCTCGGAAAGAAGAAATACCATGTGGCAGCAAAACCAGACACCTTCGGCTCCCTTCTTGGTCTCTACAGCCACAGCTGACACTGTAACCCTCTAATGGTTTGACTTTACCCTCGAAGGTGTACTCTTCCATTGTCTTTGTTATTTATTGTTTAGATGTATATTTTGTTTATATTGATCATAATTTTGATATTATCCGTTACTCTGAGTTTCCTTTCAAAGGTTACAAATATTACATGAAACGAAGCAATGATATTAAAATAAGTTATTGTTTTAAAAACTTTTTTCAAGTAGATCATAAATAAAACAATTGTGTTTGTCCTTACCCTTCTGTCCGGAATATGGTCCTAAAGCTGTCTCCCAGGCTCTTGTATCTGGTTGGATCAGTGTTTCCTCTTTGAATTTGGAACCTATAAAAAGTAGTCCATGATAGGACAAAAGCAATAGAAGGGTTTAAAAAGACAAATTTGACTTCAAAGATTCCACCCATACTCTTCTTCAACATTCTCATATGTAACTATTTTTTATTTACACCAGCTTTTAAACTGGCAGAGTTTTCTGAAATAACCATTATTCCCATTGTGCAGAACGGAGGAACTGTGAAACCATTCATGTTTCTTGTCACTCTGATCACATGATATTCCTCTTTAAATCCCCACATGGGCTTCCTGTCCAGTCTTGGATCCAACACAAACCAATTGTCCTTACCTTCAAAGCCCCCCATAATCTTGTAGCACCCCATATCTTCCCTACTGTTATCTATTGACAAACTGATAAATCTCTGTGTCTGTCACTCTTCCAACTCCACTACTCTCAGCCATCTAAAGGTCTTCTGCTCCCTCAGATGATTCTGCTTTTCATTCTTTGCTGTCCTATAACACTTGAAAATGCCTCACAGAACATCTATATGCTTTCTTCAAATTGCTTTAAAAGACCCACCTTTTCCATGAAGCCTTTGGCATAACCTCCTAGTTCCCATGCCCTACTGAGAGTCTAATCAACTCTGGTAATGCCTCTCACTTGTCGGATGGAGGACCGAGAGTGGTGTGTGTGTGTGTGTGTGTGTGTGTGTGTTTAGAAATTAGCCTATGGGGAGCGGGTGGTGCTGCGGTCCAAACCATTGAGCCTCTTGGGCTTGCTGATCGGAAGGTTGGTGGTTCGAATCAGCACGACGGGGTGAGCTTCCGGTGCTCTGTCCCACTTTCTGCCAACGTAACAGTTTGAAAGCACGCCACTGCAAGTAGATAAATAGGTACCACTCCGGCGGGAAGGTAAACGGTGTTTCTGTGCACTTTGGTTTCCGTCACGGTGTTCTGTTGCGCCAGAAGCGGTTTAGTCATGCTGGCCACATGACCCGGAAAGCTGTCTATGGACAAACACTGGCTCCCTCAGCCTGAAGCGAGATGAGCGCCACAATCCCATAGTAGCCTTTGTCTGGACTTAACCGTCCAGGGGTCCTTTACCTTTACCTTTTACCTTAGAAATTAGCCTACTCTACAAAGGTTAAATTTATGTTTCTTGCTCTGCCCAATTTTGCCTCTGGCCCCACTAATCAGTGGATTGTGGACCACAGAAGGTTGCTCTATGAGACCCTTGGACTGAAACAGGCCCCCCACACTCCCCATGGTGATGTGTACTTTACTTCCTTCAACATTTGGAAAGCCAGCCCTGTTGCATTTGGGATCCCTCCTGTGCTTTCTGCTGAGTGGCGCCCTGGGCCTCTGCCCCCAAGTCCTACGCTGAAGGCACCACTGTACTCACTTCATATAACTGTCAGCTGCTGGTAGTGCGTGAGGCGGGAAATATACAGCTTGATGAGTTTTCCCAAGTTTAAGCTGCTACTCAACTCGATGAACATGGGATTTGCTTCAATTCTACCACATTAAGGTTCATTGATCTCCATTATTTTTACCCATGTGTAGATTACATTTATCTCCATAGCATAATCTAAAGTACACACCAATCTGCACACAGAGACTATCCTGTTCTCTTCTGTGTTAGGGAAAGGTCTGCAAGCAGGGCTGCTGTATTTTACTTGACGCTTCTAGAGTGTGAGAAGATAACATAACAATTCCATAAGGAATTTGCAAAAGACTGGAACATTTTAAGGAACTCTTTCTCAACATCTGCAAGGAAAACTGATTTTTAATAGTGTTTATTTTATTCTTTAATCTTAGGTAGTTTTTTTCAAAGAAAAAAATTAATGGCCACGAATGAGGAAACATTAGGTAATTAAAAGTACCATACAGTACATTTCAACAGGTGAGATTTACAGTGCAAACCTCTGCAAGTCTACTCAGAAGAAAGCCCCACAGAACTCAGTGGGACTTACTTCAAGGTAAATATGTATAGAACAGGAGCCCCACTGAAAGTAATGGGCCTTAAAGGTACATAATTTGGGCTGGATGGTGTCTACTGTTTCCAAAGTAGTTTTTTAATGCGACCATTTTCCAAGCTCCGAGAGAGAAATTTCCTGATGATGTAATGAAAATACATTGGGCAATTATGAAAGGAAGTCCACACCTCTTTTGAGTGCACTTATGTTGGGGCCTTTCTATAGTCCCAATAAAAGTATTTCTGGCACATTGGAAATGGTTGTCTGGGGTAACTTCTTTTATTAGCCCAAAAAACAACTGTTGCCAAGTTGGCAGAGCAGCAAGCACTCTTCAACAGCTTTACACTCCAGTAAGAACCGGCGCATAACTTTTCATTTTTCAAAGAGCCCTTGGGAAGGTTAAGTCTCACATCTTCCAGTGGCATTAGATAAAGTTCAATAAATAACAGAATGCCAAATAATTGGTGCAGTTTTAAATTGGGTGACAGAAAAACGCACCTGGCAGGAATCTCTATCATGTAGTATTAAAATATGTATGTATTAATTTGTCAATTTAATAATAGTTTATGTCATTAAAAGGAATGCGCATTGCATCGTGTATAGATGAAGCTTTTTTGAAAGCTTAATTATCTTATAAAAGAAAGCAGATGAGCAGTTCACTGCTTAAATCTCCGGATGATGCAAACGTTCTTTAAAATTTATACAAAAGAAGTTGCAGAACAAAAAAAAGCAGAAATCTAGATAACCTGGTTGAGATGCCCAGCAAAAAGCAGAAATCTAGATAACTTGGTTGAGATGCCCAGCATAGATGTGTGAAAAGAGGTTGACTCTGGCTGTCAACACAAACTATTTACAGGTGTTCAGTACAGTGGTACTTAATTCATTCCGGAGGTCTGTTCTTAACCTGAAACTGTTCTTAACCTGAAGCACCACTTTAGCTAATGAGGCCTCCCGCTGCTGCCACCGCACAATTTCTGTTCTCATCCGGAAGCAAAGTTCTTAACATGAGGTACTATTTCCGGGTTAGCAGAGTCAGTAACCTGAAGTGTATGTAACCTGAGGTACCACTGTATTCATGTACTGTTCAGTATTAGGGGCACAACAAGCTTTAACTCAAGCCCTGTGCGTTCTTGAATGTCTGTAGAAGACAAACCACATGCATGTGAGGAGGGCCTTCTGCAAATTTTTAAATGAATGCACATAGGCCAGGATGCAGCTTGTATCTTATGTACATAGGATGGAGCAAAAATACTCCAGACACGTCCTTTTGAATGTTATAGACAGGTCCTACATGCATGCACTCTTTTGGAGCCTCAACAGACTTTTGGATAAATGTGCCTAGAACGAGTGGAGCTTGCTGCCATCCCACCACACATAGTATCCATGGAAACCAAATGTCTGAAAAGGATTGTAGTTGCTCTCAAATATCCCTCAGGAGCCTTGTCTACACACAAACAATTAAATGGATAGCTCAGTTGATAGAGCATGAGACTCTTAATCTCAGGGTCATGAGGTTCAGCCTCATGTTGGGCAAAAAGGTTCCTGCATTGCAGGATAAAGGATTAGATGACCCTCATGGTTGCTTCCAGCTCTATGAGTCTGTGATTTCACACTGCAGGGGGGAGATACCTTTTTTATGTTTTCATTTGCTAAAATCTTCCTGCATGTATAGTAGTAGTAGCAGTAATTTATACCCTGTCACTTTGGGCAGCTCCCAACAGAATATTAAAAACACGATAAAACATCAAACATTAAAAACTTCCCTATACAGGGCTGCCTTCAGATGTCATCTAAAAGTGAGGTAATTGTTTATTTCCTTGAAATCTGATGGAAGGGTGTTCCACAGGGTGGGCGCCACTACCAAGAAGGCCCTCTGCCTGGTTCCTGAAGGAACTGCCAGAAGGCCCTCAGAGCTAATTCAGGGTCCAGACTGAACGATGGGGGTGGGGATGCTCATTCAGGTAAACAGGGCCAAGGCCGTTTAGGGCTTTAAAGGTCAGCACCAACGCTTTGAATTGTGCACGGAAACGTATTGGGTGCCAGTGTAGGTCTTTCAAGACTGGGGTTATATGGTCTCGGCGGCCGCTCCCAGTCACCAGTCTAGCTGCCGCATTCTGGATTAGTTGTCGTTTCCAGGTCACCTTCAAAAGTAGCCCCATGTAAAGCGCATTGCAGTAGCCTAAGCAGGAGATAACCAGAGCATGCACTACTCTGGCAAGACAGTCTGCAGGCAGGTAGGGTCTCAGTCAGCGTACCAGATGGAGCTGGTAGACAGCTGCCCTGGACACAGAATTGACCTGCACCTCCATGGACAGCTGTGAGTCCAAAATGACTCCAAGGCTGCGCACCTTAAGGGGCACAGTTACCCCATTCAGGACCAGGGAGTCCCCCACACCTATCCACCACTACCCCAAAACACACAGGGGTTCTAACTCTCTATGTTCTAGCACATCCCGTTCTTTTATACTGCAATGCTTTTTAGTGTAGGAAGCATTCATAAATATGAGTCCACACCTGAAGTCTGAAATGGTAACATATATTCTACCACCTCTGGACTCTCCTACCTCATCTTGGTGTAGACTAGGTTTAGTCTACACTGAGATGAAGCAGAAGGAGAGATGGCAAGATTAAAATAAGAGTTTTATTGTGCAGGGAAGGCTAGTAATTGTGGCTAGGATATAGAAAGGGCTTTTTCTCTGGTAGTCGCAGTGATGTTATCCTTCTTTGTTATCACACATCTTCATCAAAAGTGGCTCTTTCCATGAAGAATTCTATTGCAAATAATGTAGTTCAAGAGTCTACTCGTCCTAATAGTCATAACTGCACAGCAAAATAATTAATAAGAGCACAGCAAAGTAAACATTAAGCACTTAAGTGTCTTTGATCTAACTTTCCCATTGGCATCAGTAAGAATTGTACTTCACTTTGATTGGCTCCTTTCTTCCCTAAGTATTTAATAATCCGGATCAATTTAGTGAAGGAAGGAAACAAGACAATATGCAAAATATGCTTTATGGTTCATAAGAGACAAGATATGCACATTGTTAAATGAGTTATTAGTAGCAAGTAACAATGTTGCATACAGAAGAACATTCCTCTCCTTAGGTATTTTGGATTTGTTCTTTTTGTAGTAAATCAGTTTTATAGTTTTAATAGCAACCCTAAACTACATGCCAATTAGGAGCTGTAATCTAGTTCTGTGAATAGAGGTCTTTGATATGAAGTTGCCAGGCTCAATAAAATCAGGCGTAACTTGTTAATGAAGTAGTTAATTGATTGCCAGGACTTGTTATAAAAAAGCTCATGTGTGAACTCAAGAATTGGTTTTACCAGAGGCAAATGAAGATGTGCAGGAGGCAGACAGAAGGAGCAATGCTGATTTAATGAAAGAATCCAGTTCAAAAAGTGTTTTCGTTGGAGTCAATGTTGAAAGACTAAGCATGACCCGAATATACAAAATAACGGTAAGATAAAAACTGATCAATGTTTTATAACTTTATGCTTTACGAACAATCTGCAGTCTACTGAGGTTAGACTTCCTTCCTTGCCAAATTAATTGCCAATCAGACTGAAGTACTTTTAAATACCAGGCACCATAAATGTAGGAAGGTAATGGCTTGGTGGATAGAAGGGTGCTGATTCTTCAACATCAACTTTGTTGGACTGGTCATGTTGTGCGGATGCCTGATTATTGTCTTCCAAAGCAACTACTCTATTCCACACTTAAAAATGGAAAGCGTAATGCTGGTGGTCAACAAAAGATGTTTAAAGACTCTCTCAAGGCAAATCTAAAAATATATAGTATAAACACCGACAACTAGGAAACACTAGCCTGCGAGCGCTCCAGTTGGAGAACAGCCTTTACCAAAGGTGTCATGGGCTTTGAAGACACTCAAACTCAGGACGAAAGGGAGAAACGTGCTAAGAGGAAGGCACGCTTGGCAAACCCTCACTGTGAACAACTCCCACCTGGAAAAACGTATGTCCCCACTGTAGACAGACGCCTTCACAGTCACTTACGCACTCACTGTTAAAACTGTGTTAATGGAAGACAATCTTACTCCGCTATGAGTGATTACCGAAGAAGAAGAAGAAGAAGAAGAAGAAGAAGAAGATTAACCCACACTCCTGCCAGCATGAAGAAATGGCCAGTAGAGTATATCGTGATTGATTAACTGAGGGCAAATGGTAACCTGAAATTAAAATTGAAACTAAAAGTTTTGCTCAGATAAAGCAGGGGTGGGAAACCTTTCTCAGTCTGAGGGGCACATTTCCTGCCGGGGCCACATCCAGGGGTGGGTCAGCGTCAGTGGATGGGGCAAAGAATATACAACTTTGTACAGTAGTCTAGTTTCAGCACACAACTTACTCTCTTGTCCATCCAAGCAAGCAAGAGGTCTTACCAGAATTCAAGGACACATTCCAGCCAGGCAAAAGCATTCCAGGAGGGTACGAAGCAGGGCTGGTGAGTGGGGTGGCCTGAGGAGGGTGTGTGTGGCTGGGGACAGTCCTGATGGCCAAACAGAGACGCCTTAAGGAGCCATAGCCCTGATATAGATATTGTAGTCCTATTTATTATACTTCTTTTTCAAGAAGCTTCTGTTTGGTGATCGCATCCTGTCTTGACCTTTAGCTTGAGGATACTCTTCATCAGGGGTCAGCAAACTTTTTCAGCAGGGGGCCAGTCCACTGTCCCTCATACCTTGTGGGGGGCTGGATTATATTTTTTTGGGGGGGAATAAATGGACGAATTCCTATGCCCCACAAATAACCCAGAGATGTATTTTAAATAAAAGGACACATTCTACTCATGTAAAAACATGCTGATTCCCAGACAGTCCGCGAGCCGAATTTAGAAGGCGATTGGGCCGGATCCGGCCCCCGGGCCTTAGTTTGCCTACCCATGCTCTTAATTAATTCTGTCAGACCACCTTGGCCCTCAGTTCTAGCACATATGAAAGTCTTGCAAGGAAAATGCAAAGGAAGAACATAAGTCGTCTTCACTGGGTGCTGGAACATCGGCAGCTGCCCGGCTTCAGCCCTCTGCAACTGTGCTAAAGATGAATCAAGCAAAGTAAAGAGAAGAGGAGCAGAATATTTGATTTTCCTCTTTGAGTGCCCTCCCCTCTTTTATTCTCAGGATCTCAGCCTTAGTGTGGGAATTTTATTTATTTGTGAAATAAAATAGATAAATCACTGCTGCCTTTCCCACAAAAGGCTGAGTCCCCAGCATTTCCAGGTAGGACAGGGACAGATCTCTGTCTGGAACCCCGGAAAGCTGCTGTCGCTCAGTGGAGACAATACTGAACTAGATGGACCTGACTTGTTATAGGGCAGAGAAAGCCAGAGCACATGTTCCTATCACAAAATAATTCATATCCTTAAAATCCTTTATTATTTCATTCTTATTTAATTTGATTGTTCATGCCACAGGGATTTGGTATCTACATGTTTTCTGATATTATTCTTACCTTCAGACCCTGAGATAGGAAGGGCTTTGAATTAGAAAGGGCTACATTCTGGAAACCCCCCAAATTGCTGTTCCTAAAAGCAGAACCGATTTCAAAATGAATATTCCAAGGCTACTTACTGATTCACATGGTTACATTCAAATATAACAGGGCTATATTTTAAGCTGTCACATTTAATTAGGGCATTTACTCTAATGCTTTTTGTTCACAATTTGGATATTTGCTACTATACATATTGCATTTGTCATTACTTATGCTTAGATTTCATTAGGGGCTTAGTTATTACCGAATGAACACTGATAAGTTATTCCACCATCTGGAACAGAACGTGCAGGTTGTTTATATTACTTACCAAGGATAATAAGTAAATTGAGAGTATAATTCTGCAGTTTATTTGAAGGGTAAATCTTTCAAATCACATAAACTGTTGAAAATATGGACATTAGAATTCAAAACAAATACCTAATTATTTTAAGCCAGAGGTATAAATTTTGCCAATACGGGGCTTTATATTTTAACTATTGTAATACTGCAATGATATTTTAAGTATAAGCATAAGACAGAGAACAGTAGAGCAGTGCAGAAACAGGAAATTATCTTCTTTTCAGTAGATCTTTCAATAACTTCACTCTCTAATTGACCTCTGCCACACTTCATTACTCTGGATATGCTATATTATATTCTTAATTCTGCTTCTGTCTAACCATTGGATAAAACTGGGTTAAAAAGTACAATCCCAACATTAATTTAAATCAAAATGCACATGTCATTTATGAGCAAGTGCACCTCTTCTTAAAAACAAAAAGGTTAGAGGATGGGAAATGTTTTGAGAACTAAAAGTGATGTAGTTATTCATACAAAGTTTTCATTAATACAGCATAGCTACCTTCTTATGGAATAAATGTGCAGGGATAGCATGTGGTAAGCTCTTTCTGTATCAGACTGAAAATTGGGATTAGGACATAGCTGAATGATCTCCTGGGTGAAAAATTAGTGAACGATAATTTAAATGCACAAACCCACACCTGCAGAGTGAAGTGCTATCATTCAGAAACTATAGTA